GTTGTTTGTTTTGATGGAACAATAAAACAAACAGTAGAACCGTCAACATCGTAACGTTTTATTCAATCTTATCTTTCAATAATATCAACTTTTTGTTTTCTAATACAAACACACCTAAGTACAAGAAAAAAAACTACGTACCACAAAAAAATGATTAATATTAAACAGATGTTTAAAATCACCAGAGCAGGAACGTTTCAGCCCGAAACGTTATGAACATTAAAATACCTAGTTATAGTATTCTGGCACTTGTGTATAAAGTTAAAATCATAAATAATGTTCGAAACATGTAGAGTCGTCAACTTTTTGAAGGCCATAGATAGGCCTAAATAAAATGTTTTTAAATTCCTCTAGTTAAAGACAACAAATGTGTTCCAACTTGGTGCCTTCTTTGACCAATCTTTTTCTGTGATACTATAAAAACAATACGATGACTAGAAAACTGGCCATAGCATTTTAAATCGTTTTACTACCGTAGAAATGTGGATGATAGTTTTACCATTTTTAGAAACTCTGGTCAAGTTTCTCGATTTCTTGAGTATTTGAACATTAAACATAACAGTATAAAATTTTCTGATGAAAATCAACAAGATCATAAACTTTCTTTCTCTGGATACACTAATTCATAACAGTGATAATTACTTCCAATGTGGAGTAAACCATAAAAAACGTTTACTGGTTTGTATTTTAACATTACAAGCTTTGGACCAAATCTATTTAGAAAAATATTGGTAAAGATTCTAATTAATCGTACATATACATTATCACGTACTCATAAACAATGTAATACAATCAAAGAATTCTTATGAAAAACTTATTTTTCGTCTATATGTTATTAACAGAATGCTTCGTAATTATTTGAAAAAGCGGAGTTTCAGCAAACCTTCTATTTTTATGAAGTTCCTAAATATCCCACAATTATAATTTCGCGACATATGGGAAAATATTTTTTGAACATAAATAAATCAGTTGAAAAATGTATTTCGTATGGTATACCCACAAATACCATTGAAATGTATTTTTCAACGTAATTATCGTTTGTGTTTTGTTTTTCTTCAGATTTAAGAACTGTGTTAATACATTAAGGTTATGTAGTATATAAAGTTAATTATAGTATTTTAGCACTTGTGTATAAAGTTAAAATCATAAATAATATTCAACGTTAAACTGGTACACAGCGAAGTTATCTTTCAACGTGTCTTTATTGGGGGTAAAGGTTTTCAAAAGTTCAACCAAACAAATCAGCTAAAGCATGGTTATAAATTCCAAATGTTAGGAACTATAGGTCGCAATAGATATTTTTGTTTATGAGTATTAGAAAGACCTTAAAAATTACTAGATTACTACTTGATGAATTAATATTTATATTATTCTTCTTCGGCTTTAAAAGACACCATTGTGATCTAGACGCTCTACTCTCAAATCAGGATGTACCCTTACAAATTTAGTTGAATATGTATTTTGGGTATTATTTTTATCATATGTATTATTTTTAATATAGAATGTTATCCTTCTTCGGATTTAAAAGGCACCATTGTGAGCTACACACTCTACTCTCAGTGGAGTCATGATGTACCCTTACTTAGAAATGATACCCTGTCTTAGAAATGATAAATCTCCAGTCTGAACACATCTTTATGAACTGAGTGTATGACTCGGAAAGGATT